CTACTACAGCCCAGCCACTACGGCCGCGACTGCGCAGACGGCGAGCGGCGCGCGTTGATGGCGTCACAAAGGCGCCGGGGAAAGCGGGTTCTGAGAGCCCCAGTGGCCCCGCCCCGGTGGCCCGCGACCGTCCAACCTCAGGGTACGTCGAGGTGACGCGGCCTGTGGTCGTTTGGTTCAGGGCAGTTGACGGTTAGGTTAGCCCAGCTGGGTCGTAGCCAGGAGGACAGGGCGGCGGCTGCACGCGGTCCAGAATCTTTACGCGTGTCCTGTACCCCAGCCTGCAGCCTCACCGTGTCGCGCGCGCCGCCAGGAAGGAAGGCAGCCGGGGCCGGCGTGGTAGAGGCGAGACTGCCAAGCAGGGGCAGTGTGCGGCCGGTCCCCAGGCCCAGAGAACACGCACTTCAGGGGCGCAGCTCTGGCTTCCTCCAACCGCAAGCTACCTGTTTGGTTACTCAGGACGGGTTGGGGCAAGTCAGAGACTAGTGACCTCTCTAAATACAGCATTGGCGGAACCAGCAGTTAGCGTAATGGCTATGTCGCTGGACTCCCACGTAGTCGACCGTGGTTCGTGTCCCGGACCCGGTGGCTTAAAACTCACGCCGGGCGCGTGTGCGTTCGTGCCCAAGATCCCAAGATCCCGAGAGGAGAATGGAGGAGAAGGGATTGCGGCGTGACCATCCCCCCTGGGGGGTGATTTCTCGCTTTCTGTCTTTATGTCTCTCTCTGTCTGTCTGGCGAGTACACGCGCCCTACAGTGAAAATCTCTCCAAAAAAAAAAAAAAATACAGCATAGGCACCCCACCCGGTTTTCTGACCGTCCCCACCCTGGGCGATTTTTTGAGGAGCCCCATTTACACAAAGGTCTAGCCTGTCAGCGTGAAGAGTGATGCAGCATCAGTGAGATAAAAGCGGTTTACCTGAACCGGGGCCTAGGATGTACTCACCGGATAACTATTCTGGTTTCCCAGACCTGTGTTCACCAACATGGCAACCCAGAAAGTTCGTTCATGTAACAGAAGGTCCAAAAGAGGCGGTTCCACCACAAATAACTCACTCACACTGGGACACAGAGTTTACACAGTAGGGATATTGAAGTCCCAGATCATGTCTTGCTCAGGGCTATTCCAAACTTCTTGAAAAGATACTTTTAACTTTCCCCTTCTCTTTCTTCCCTTTATTTTTTGGGGAGAGATTTTTGTTAAGAGTAGGTGCCGCTCGCAGGACAGGCAGGCGAGAGTTTGCCCAGCCCCCCGCCCCAGGTATGGCCACGCTTGGATTTTGGGCTTGTATGGACACGCGCAAGGCCTGAGTTTTAAGCCGCTGGGTCTAGGACTCGGACCTCGGTCAACTACGTGGGAGTCCAGCAATGTAACCATTATGCCATTTGCTGGTCTCCCCTCTTCTTT